GGATCCGAACCGGGGCCCTCTGGCGTCCCAAGCCAGTTCTTTACCAATGCGCCACTCAGCCAGCCCCCCAATTCTTGAAAGCGAGGAGAACCAGGAATTGACAGGAGTAAAGGTGAGGACCTTGTGATATGAGGGAACCGTCCCCTCCGGCAGAGAGGGTCACACAGTCCCTGTGCTCTGTTCTTAGCAGAACGGTCAACTCAGGGGCTCCTCATTTCTTCCTGTGGGGGGGGGGGTTCCCAGTAGGTGACAGCCTGGGTAGGCAGGGACCACCAGCCCCAGTTATGTAGAGGGAGGAGTTGGGGACCTCACCGGAGTTCAGGTGAGGACCCTGAATGCTCGAGAGAAGACCTCCGCACAGAAGAGGAGGTTGCTCAGCGCTCTGCCGTGCTGTCAGGTTTGGGAGTCCGAGGCAGGGGTCGTGAGATGTGACCCACGACCCTTTCAGGGACTCAGGGAGGGTGTGAGAGTTGTGGACTCCAGTCAGTGGAGGGCAGAGTCCCAGGCTGAGTTCCATCGAACCGCCCCTGCTAGCAGTCCTCAGAGACCCCTTGGCCAGATGTGGTTCACTCGCACTTCCGCCTGGGCCTGAGAGCCGCAACGGTCGTGCGCGTCGCTCGGCTCGGTGGAGAGCGGAATTCCCAGACTGGTCAGGTAACAAGCCGAGGACCCCGAATGTCGACTGAAGTGACCATCCTGCCCATTACCGAGGGAACCCCACAAAGTCCTGCCCGAGCGTCGGCACTGGGAGGCCCTGGGACAATTCGTGGGTTTCTGTGGGGGCGGGGGGTCGCACCCCGGAAAGGAGGGCCTTGGTCTACATGGGGGGGCCCACAGCTGTGTTGAACGAGGAAACCTGGGCCCTAACTAGCATCCTGGTGAGACCCTGAGTGCTAAGGAGGGGGGCACTTTCCCCAAGGGGGCGGAGGGCAAGCAGGGCCGGGGGCGCCAGGCAGGTAGAGCCCCACACCGCGCGCCGGGACTTGCTCTCGAGGGACTCCGGGAAGCAGGGCTGACGGACAGACACAGGTCGGCAGAGGGAGGGAGGAGTCCCAGGCTTTGACGCACACCAGTGGGGCCCTGTGAAGCCCCGCCCCTGCTGTTAGCCCGCGCAGACTCCGTACAGCCTCGGCAGTCAGGCCTTGGAGGTCCTGTACGGTCGTGGCCAGATACGGCTCGCCCTGACCTTCTCGCTGGGAAGGTGAGGACCTTGGTCTGAGGGGACACACACTCCAGTCAGTGGAGGTCAGGTACGAAGTAGGGGACAGCCCTGGTCAGGTACGAAGCTCCAGCCCTGGTCGGGTACGAAGGTGGAGACCCTGAACATGGACTGATGCCTTACCCCCCAGTGCCCCCATCTCCCCAACTCTGGGAGGTCCTGGCAGAGCTGTGGGGCCGCCTTCTGCTTGGAAGTTCCCAGGGAGAAGAGGGCCTTGGCCGGAGGGTGTGGCCCTACTTATGGGGAGGGAACAAGGCCTAGGCCTTAACAGGAGTCCAGAGTGAAGACTGTGTCCCCAAAAGAGGGGCCCGACCAGAGGCCTGCCCTCAGCTCAGGGAGGGGTCCTAAAGGACACCTACAGTTGCGGTGTGCCCCAGCTTCCTTTCTAGGCCTGGTCGGCTCTTCAGCGAGAAGTTGCAAGCCCTGCCTGGAGCCAGTCAGAATTCTGAGTAGCGAGAACTGAGCTAAGGGCCACTGCATTGGGAACTGTGGGATCCTGTGGCGTCCCACCCCTGTTCTCAGGCCTTGGAGGCCCCAAACACCCTTAGCAGGATGTGGCTCATCCTGAACCTCCCCACTCTGAGGCCTCATTTAAGCAAAGACCTCGGTGTGAAGGGCGTGGGCTCATGTCTACCGAAGGGGGAGTCCCAGGACTGGCCCAGTGTCAAGGTGAAGATCCTGAGCGAGGACACGAGGACCAATCAGCCCTCAATGGAGAGAGCTGCACCAAGTTCCACCTCTGGGAGGCCCAGGGCAGAGCTGACAGATCCAGGTGCCCCCTGACTTCAGCTTGCAGGATTTAAGTGGATGCAGGCCTTCGTTTAAAGATTGGCTGCCCGGGTTCAGCAGAGAGGAGAGCCCCGGGCCCTGTGGGGAGTGAAGGCTAAACTCCTGTATGAGGAATGAGCGGGAACAACCGCTCCAGAGCAGAGGTGGCTGCCTAAAGTCTCACCTCTGTTGTTTCCCAGAAAGCCAAGGGCAAAGCTTGAAGGGCGAGGTGACTCCTCATTTCCTGTGGGGGCTGGGGAGTTGTCTCCGAGAGGAACAGAGAAGTGAGGGTCTCAATCTGAGGGGAGTGGTCCCAGGCAGGGCTGTCAGGGCTGTCGGGCTGCAGCCTGAGGTGCAATCGAATACCTCCCCAGGGTCACCAGGGGGCCAGGAGAACAGGGGCCCTGTGGGGGCCTAGAACAGTGTCTTCAAGGACACCTTCAGAGGTGCGTTCTTAAAGCCACAGTGGCATCTCCCCGTGGAAGGGACTGCCACCCTCTTATTCTCCTCCTCCAGGTGCCTGCATCACGTGCCTTCCTGTCACACTCCCGCCTGCTGTCTAGAACGATGGCCATGCCTGGTGGTCAGAAGAGTGAGCTCCGCGCTCCTGAGGAACCCTGCGAGGCCCCAGGTGAAGACCAGGGCCTTGGGGCTGCCCGGGCCACTCCAGCAGGGGAAGAGGAGTCTCCCTCGTCCCCCTTTCCTGTGTCTGGGTGCACTCCACCCAGTGCCCCTGCTGCAGGCACTCCCCAGGAGTCTCAGGGAGCTCCAGCCACTAGTTCCCCTGCTGCAGCAATTTCCGGGGCAAGTTCTGGTGACGGTGCCCAGAGCCGAGGGGAGGAAAGTCCAAGTTCTCCCCAGGCTCCGTCCTCCTCGGAGAGCTCTGGCAGCGATCCCCTGGCCATAAAAGTAGGCATGTTGGTGCAGGTTCTGCTGTACAAGTATAGAGTGAAAGAGCCCATTACAGAGGCAGAAATGCTGACGATCATCGACCAGGAGTACAAGGAGCACTTCCCTGAGATCCTCAGCAGAACCACTGAGCGCATGGAGCTGGTCTTTGGCCTTGACCTGAAGAAAGTCGACCCCAGCAACCACTCCTACGTCCTTGTCGCCAAACTGGACCTTCCCAACGAAGGGGGACTGGGCGGTGGCATGGGCTTTCCCAAGAATGGGCTCCTGATGCCTCTCCTGGGTGTGATCTTCCTGAATGGCAACCATGCCTCCGAGGAAAAGATGTGGGAATTCCTGAATATGTTGGGGATCTACGCTGGGAGGAGGCACTTCATCTTTGGGGAGCCCAGGAAGTTCATCACTGAAGATTTGGTGCAGCTACAGTACCTGGAGTACCGCCAGGTGCCCGACAGTGATCCTCCACACTACGAGTTCCTGTGGGGCCCGAGAGCCCACGCTGAGACCACCAAGATGAAAGTGCTGGAGTTTTGGGCCAAAGTCAATGAGATGGACCCAAGTGGCTTCCAGTTTCTGTATGAAGAGGCTTTGAGAGAGGAGGAAGAACGGGCGCTGGCTGAGCTGCAGCCAGGACCCGCTCCGGGGCCACGTCCAGCAGCTCTTCCCAGCGCTAGGGAGGTCTGAGGCAGTCTTCACCTTTGAAGTTCGAAAAGGGCTGTCAACCTTCTCAGCGGTGGAGGGGCGAGGGGGGGATGGCGAAGGCCCAGTGTATCTTTTCTTTATGTTCCTGTTTTCACAAGTAACTTACAGGTTTACCTTTTTCCCCTTGTTTTTCCAATGTGTTCCTTTTACGAAAAGCTTACCTACATTCAGAATCTAAATTTATGAATAACATGGCTCACACATTTATTGCTGTTTATCAAGTTGGAGAGTAATAGTTTTGTACTTTGTAAAGCAAATCAAAAGCACTTGAGCCTTTCATTGTGGTCCAGTACCAGAAAACAGAGCACTGGATACAATTTTTCTTTAAAATGTGAAAGAGCCCCACAGTTTAAATGGTTGGGATAATGAAGTAGTAAAACAGCAAACGGCGGCTAATTCTTGGTTTTTCTTGATCCTTTTACTCCTTCTTTTGGTAAAATTAAGAGCGATGCAGGAGCATTTGCTTAGCTTATTCAAGAATGTAGGAGAAATTAAATCGTCATCAATTAGAGCTCTTGGCCACTGTCTCTTTTGTTTCCCTAACATGAATTGAGTGCCTGCTCTTTCTAAGGCATCATGCTAGCTCTGGGGATGTGCAGGCCAAGAAGACCCAGCCCCTGCCAATAACACTGTAGGGCCCAGGGGAAGCTTTCGTACAAGGAGCAGGGTGAGGCCCACACTCAACCCTGAAGGACAATACACAGAAGGGCAAGGAGGGAGGAGTTTCCAGACGGGAGCAGTGCAGCGAAACGCCACGATACAAGGCAGGCTGGGAAGGTGGGCAACTGCCAGTCCGCTGTGGGGGGAACTTTAAATTGGGCTGAACCAGGGGTGCCATGAGTCGGCTAAAATGGTGAGCAGAGACCAGGCTCTCAGATGGTGGGTCACAGAGTGCAGAGACTATGCCTGCAGTGGAAAACTGGCCTTCCCAGTTCCTTAGGGATGCTGCGAGCCCAAGAGACATCCCGCCCACCTGGGGCAGGTGTGGAAGGACTCCTGTGCTCTGTCGCCCTGCAGGTGAACACAGCGCACTCACTAGGTGTTTTTCGCACTTTGTGTCCAGAGTTTCTGAGATATTCAGCAGCGACTGGGCTGGCCCACATTGTCCTGGCCTGGGGGGTGACCTAGACCATTCCATTAGAAGGGAACCTAAATATGGCATTCTTCTCTGTGATACGGCGAACTGTAGTTGAGGTCTAGATCTCTGGTGGTGGTGGAATGAATGAGAATGGGGATGGGTTAAATGCCAGGGAAGCTGGGGGCGGGGGGCAGGAGGTTGTTGGTCCTTTACACACCTGTGCATCCTAACTGGGAAAGTCTACCTCACGCCCTCGTGGAATGATTGATCACCCAATGGGGAAATACCACTTGGTTTTATTTACTAAGCAGCATTCAGGCTGATTGGGGCTTTTTTTTCCCTAGAGCATTGTGTATCCTCTGACTCCTCCTCAATTGCAAACAAAACAAAACAAAACACAAAAACCCCAGTGTGGCATGTGGTATCATCTGAACTTTTTTTTCAGGGAATCCAGAATGTGGGAACTCGGTCTGAGGGTCATGGACTCAGAAAATGGAGGGTAGAGTTCCAGGACTGGTCAATTTTGTAGGTGAGGAGCCTGTATGTGGACTGAGCCGATCACTGCCCATCACCAAGGGGACCACCCAGTGCCGACCCTCTCTCAGCCCTGGAAGGGTGGACAGAGCTGTGGTGTGACTTCTGCCCGAGGGCCTCAGGGAGGGGAGGGCATTGGTCTAAGGGCTTGGTTCCAATTCTGCCAAGAGAGGCGTTCTGGGTCCTAAGTGCAGTGTAGGTAAGGAACCTGAGTGCTAACCAGTGGACCTCTCTCCAAAAGGGGACCATCCACAGCCCCACCCCTGTGGTCAGTACTGGGAGCCCCAGGCAGGGGTAGCTAGATGTGGTGTACTCCAAGCTCCCCTTCTCGGGAGGCAGGAAGGTGAGGGCCTTGTTCAGAGGCCAGTGAACTCAGGTCAGTAGGGGAGTCCCAACAAGCTCAGAACAGAGAGGGCTCCTCTGAGCTGTCAGCCCTGGATGGCCCTTGGCAGTGGTGATGGGGTGAGTTGTCCCTTCTCTTTCTCTTAGGGGATCCTAGGGAGATGAGGGCCTGGTTTTAGGTGTCAACTTCAGCACAGCAGAGGGGAGAGGCCCAGGCCCTGCCAACAGTTGATATAATGGTACTGACTGTACACTGAGAAGCCCTCACCCCAGAAGAGAGGCTGTCCACTACCAGCCCCTTCTGTTACTCCAGGCAGCCCCACACGGGGCTGACAGGCTGCAGCCTAAGGCACGCGGTAGTTTCCTGCACAGGGGTCAGGATGACCTGTGGGGTCCGAGAGCACTGCCCTGGTGAGGGGCTCGTACCTTCTCATTCTTCGCCTTCTCCAGGTGTCCATATCACAGACCCTCCTGCCACACTCCTGACTGCTGTCCCTAAGCACAGCCATCCTGTCTTGTGTTCAGAAGAGTAAGCTCTATACCTGTAAAAATTGCCTCCAGGCCCAAGGTGAGGACCAGAGTCTTGGGGGTGCTCAAGCCCCTGCAGTGGGGGAAGTGTCCTGTCCTCCTGCTCTCCATCTTTCAAGCATATTCCCTAGAGCAAGCATGATGTCAAGTCACACAGCACACTCCAGGGGCCTCAGACAGCTCCACCTACCATCACTGCTTTCTGTAAGGGTTTCACACACAGGATCTTATGAAGGTGCTAAGAGCAAAGATGGGGGAGGGACAAGTTCCTCCCAGGCTGGTGTGACTATTTTTATGTCAGTATTTACTAGAGTGAAGTCCCCTTAAGTCAGCTTTTTGGCGCCAGGTGAAGTAGACACACTGAAATTTATTTTCTTTTCCAATGAGCTACTCATCATGTCACTCTTTAAATCAACCCAATATGCACCAAAAAAACCGGCAAAGAGAAGTAGGTTTGATCAACATATGCAAATACTCAAGAACGGGCAAATGAAAACTGAGAAATAAGATTGGGAGGATAAGGGGAGAGGAAGAGTTTGTTTCAAACTGAGACCTGAGAAGAACTTGTAGAAGAGTGGAGCTGAGAGCAGGAACTTTGGGTTGGGCAGCTCTGTGGGCTGGAGGTGGGGGAGGAGAGAGAAAGACCTCTAGGGCAGAAGGAGTCGCTCTCCCCACACTTTCTCACTGGGCCCTTTCATTCAATTCTCTGTGCATTTACTGGGGAGGCAGTGGGCTCCGGGCAGGGTGGCTTTGGGCACAGTCAATAAACAGACGAAAAAGACTTTGTCTTCCTCTCGTGTGGGCCAACAGGTTAGGGATAAAATATCTTAGTATCCTTTGGCATTTAAAGTCTACAAAGAATGAGAACCCTTAATCACAAGACTAGCAGGAAAAAACAAGCGTTTGACAAAATTAGGCATATCTTTCTTTTTTAGGTTAAGATTAATTTTGTTTCTTTCATAATAAACAAGAGTCATACATTTCAGGACATCAATGTGTTGAGATTATCCAAGGGATTTTGATATCACCCCTCCTTTTTTTACTCTGAAGTATATATTGCATTCAAAAAAGCATATCAAGGGCCGGCCGAGTGGCGCGATGGTTAAGAACTCGCTTGGGATACCAGAGGGCCCCGGTTCGGATCCCACATATGAGGGCCAGTGACACTGCCCTCCACAGCTAAGATGCTGAACAACAGCTCAACCTGGAGCTGGGCTGCTGTGAGTCGCCGGCGACGGCGTGGGCTGCAGTCCCTGTGGCGGTGGGTTGCCATGGGCTGCCGTGTGTAGCCAGCAGCCAGCGTGAGCGGCCAGCAGCCGCAGTGAGCGGCCGTCCAGAAGCCGGCGACTGATCTGCCTCACCCGGGAAGAGCGCAATGATGGTGCCAACTTGGGCCAGTGAAGCAACGTCCTCCACAACTAGACTGAAGAACAAAAACGACAGCAACTTGTCTGTCCCCCTTCCCCCAATTCCCCAGCACTGTTCCCATCCCCCCAATTCACCAATAAAAATCTTTAAAAAAAAAAAGCATATCAAGGACCAGCCGAGTGGTACGTTGGTTAGGAGCTGGCATGGGACGCCAGCTCTGAGCAGCAGGGCCGCAGTTTGGATCCCACATGAGGGTCAGTGACTCTGCGCCCTCTACAGCTAAGACAGTGAACAACAGCTCGACCTGGAGCTGGGCTGCCTGAGTTGCTGGTGATGGCGTAGGCTGCAGTGGGGCTGGCGGGCAGCTGGCGTGAGCTTTCGTGAGCTGCCGTGAGCCACCATGAGCTGCCATCCAATGGCCGGTGAGCAACTGCCTCACCCGGGAAGAGCACAGTGATAATACCAACATGGGCCAGTGAAGCGACGTCCTTCACAACCAGACTGAAGAACAAAAGGACAGAAACTTCTCTGTTTCCCTTCCCCAATTCCCCAACGCTGCTCCCCTCCCCCAATTCCCCAATAAAATCTTAAAAACAAAAAAGCATATCAAATATGTATGTGGAGCTTAAAGAATAATTATGTGAACACCTTTGTACTCACTCGTAGATTAAGAAATAGAACGTTGCCAATGTCTCAGTAACCCCAGTGATCCTTCCCCAATGGTATACCCCTTCCTGCTTGCTATGGACTGAATGATTCTGCTTCCTCAAAATTCATATCTTGAAGCCCTAATGTCATGGTGTTTGGACGTGGGACCTTTGGGGAGGTAATTAGGTCATGAAGGTGGAGCCTCCATGATGGGATTAGTGTCCCTAGAAGAAGAGGAAGACAGCTGGCCCTCTCTTTCTCTCCACCTTGTTAGGACATAATGAGAAGACAGCCATCAATAAGCCAGGAAAAGAGGCTTCGCCAACAATGGAATCTGCTGGCACCTTGATCTTGGACTTCCCAGCTTCTAGAACTATAAGAAATAAATGTTTGTTGTTTAAGTCACCCAGTCTATGGCAATTTATTATAGCAGCTCAAGCTAAGACACTATCCCAGAGGTAACCACTATTCTGAATTTTGTTAC